CTCAGATGTGGAAGATTGCATAATTCCCACAAGACTCGGAAGAGCTCTGGATCATGTCTGGACTTCTGTTCTCCCCAGCACTTCTTCCGTTCGGTTCTGCTCCCAGAACTGAACTCGACTGCACTCGACTGGAGCTGCAAACGACTGAAGCTCTGCAAACGACTGAAGCCGGTTTGAACTAGGAAGTACCGACATTTAAAGAGTTCTATTTCCGGTTCATTTGGGAGTTTCTGATTGGTCAAATCGACCAGACAGGGGTGTGTTTTTGTGACGTAAGAGGTCACTAGAAGTCAGAAAAACAGAAAATGTTTTGGAACAGATTGAAAATGTTTTTAGGGACAGACGAGAGAAATGTTTGGACGAGTTGGGTGAAAACAGGTGCCAGCTTCTCTATATTACGTCTGAGAGGATTTAAAAACATGACAGTTCGTTCCAACAACTTGTTTTTGACCTCTGACCGACATCACAACTTGCTCATTTCAGACAGGAGATCAGAAAATGCATGAATTACTCCGTAACACATTCCAATTTGATTTCCACTTTGAATGAGGATTAAAAATCACTAATACTGTTTCATAGTTGATTAAAAATGATTAGTTCACTTCAAGATTTAAAAATGGTTTGAACTAAACACACTTTGATTATCAAACATTTGTAAAATAGTAATGATAATAAAAAGAGAGTGTTCTTTCAATTGATCAGTGCAGGACACTTAGTAAGTCTCTGGATGAACTTAATCTTGTGTTTCTGGACTCAAATCAATGAAATACAGTTCTTGTTCCAGGCAGGCCCTCAAGGCCAGATTTTGACCTGAGGCTTAGTTCACTACAATTGTTACCAATCAGTTCATTTGATTAATAATCAGCTCTCCTGTTGTTATTAATCTGTTCATACTGTTCAGACGTAAAGCGGTTGGTTCATGGCTCTTTTCAGCATTTTTCCCTCCCCGTTGAATTTTCCGGGGCGTTCATGCATTCAGAACGTATAGTTACACAACACGCGTCTGTGCATGGCACACATAATTACGCAATGCGTAATTACGCACATGGGGAGCTGAGTGACAAGACGTTTTTTGGGCAAGCTTCTGCGTCATACGGTGTTCGAATGGACCCAGTGAGGCGAGGACAACATCCGCTTCGCCCTTAACCCATCAGCGACAGCCTTAAAGGGCGAAGCCTATACAAAATAGAACGTTGGTTACGTACTGTAACCCCAGATTCTATGAGTATAAGCGTAGCCCTTTAAGCGTCGGGCCTCACTGGCTCCTAAATGGCTGAAGAAAAAGCTATTTTTGGGAGCCGATTTCCCGCTCTTAACGTAATTTATACGGACCGGGTGGGGCCCACACAGCAGGTGGGCGTGGACTAAATTTTTCAGTGCAATGCTTTGCATATCGGGATAAACCCATCAGCGACAGCCTTAAAGGGCTACGCCTATACTCATAGAATCTGGGGTTACAGTACGTAACCAACGTTTCAGGATATCAGCTGCTAAAACATGTTCCATCTATAGGGTGTCTCAGATATAGGGTGAGAAGTTCCACTATCTGGGGAGAGCTGGGAGCAGAACAGCTGTTTCTCCACTCTAGAAGAAATCAGCTGAGGTGGTTTGCACTTCTGATCAGAAGGCCTCTTGATCCCTTCTCTGGAAGTTTTTTGAGCATGTCCATACATGCACATCCATCCATCCATCCATCCATCCATCCATCCATATATCCATATATCCATACGTACATACGTACATCCGTACATCCATACATCCATACATCCATACATCCATACATCCATACATCCATACATCCATACA